ATAATATATAACTAGCAATAAACCAGTGCTACGCACAAAGTGAATTTTTTTATTTTTTAAATATAAAATATTATAAAATAAAAATAATCCATTGTATTTATTTGAACTCTGCAAATTAATTTCTATTAAAACAAAAATAGTTCAATAATTTAAAACTAACTATTAAAATTTAAGGGTAAATTACAAATACACCGCCTAAGATTTGGGTAAAATACAGATTGCCTCATGTGGTTTGAAAAATTACAAATATCCCCTTATTAGAACTTTTTATTTAACAGAATTAACTAAAAAAAATGAAATCCATAATTGCTCTCCTATACAATAATAAAATTACCTAAATTATTAATTGAAACATATTTTTAATATCAGTAAAAACTGTTAATTGACTTGATGATTTCTTAATAAAAGGGGCGATTTATTATGAAATCAGAAATCTCAGGAGGTGAAATGTAATTTTCAAAACCATGGGGGACGATTCGTATTTTAATCAAATCTCTAGGAGTGTATTTGTAATTTATCCAGAATTTAATTATTAAAAGAATGTCAAATTTCATTAAGATCTAATATATAATGATTAGGTGAATTGTCTACTAAGTATATTGGTATAGGGGCATCAAATGAGTTAGTGCTAGATTGAACTGAACTATATAGAAAGATTATGTTAATTCAATCCCAACACAACATTAGGATTAATATAGCCATCCTAAACTCGATCTTAAAAAAATTCTAAATTTCAAATCCGCTCAATTAATCTATTATATATGGACTATTATTATTATTATTATTTTGGAGTGTGTCTTGGACTACTTTTAAATGAATTTATCATTTTTAATATTAATTTTAATTTGGACCATTAGCAAAATTCAATTGAAAATGATTTTTACCCTTTTAACAAATGTTTGATTTTAAACTCGAAAAAAATACTCTCTCTCTCTCTCTCTCTCTCTCTCTCTCTCATATATTTATATACTAGTGTATGCCCGTGCCTAAAGGCACGGTGCAAATAATGATAAAATCAAAATGTAATTGAATATAAAATTGTTGGGTTAAAATATAATTTATTCCATTTGTTGCTAAAAAATTGAAGTCAAAATATAAATCAAGGTCTGGTTAATTTTGAAAAGTTCTTTTTTTTAAAAAAAAAAACTTGAAAATAAACATTTCCTAATCAACTATTTAAAGTACGGCAAGTAACTCAATCATAAACATTTTGATTTTATTAACAAACTTTATGACTCTAAAGTATAAACTTCATATCAACACAAAAATTAAAAATAAAAGCATCCTTACCAAGCAAGTGTAAAAATTAAATAAAATTTATAGATACAAAATAAAACGCACAAACCAAATATATTGTACATTTGTTAACACAATAATCCAAAAAAAATTACACCAAACAATGCACAACCGATGCTTGACAATTACAAAAAAAAAAAAAATCAAATTAAAATTGAATACCAAACAATGCATGCCAGCCAGTGCTCTATAATCTATAAAAAAATTAAAATTGAAATGCACACCAACCAATACTTTGTAATTTAAAAAAAAAATTAATTTTAAACACCAAGCAATGCACACTTGCTAGTGCTATTGCCACAACTCAACATTGTAATAGTTCTTTGCAAATTATAAACCCAAAACTACATGAGAAAAAATATAGGGGAAAAAAAAAATTCAACTTGCCTACATGGTCACATGAGATTTTAAAAAATGTATTCTCAGCACAATCTACACCACATGGAAATAAGAAAAAATCAAGTATAACAACTTACTAATGGTGCAGAGAGACCATATATATTTTGTTTAAACCTTATGTAACACAACAGATATATAAAATCATGGAAACACCTATGTAAGGACTAAATACTACTATAAATGTTTTGTAAGGTACATCCCTTTTCTAATCACTGATAAATGTGAATGCATACAGGAAAAGATTTCAACTGTTGAAGCAATTATGGATTTAACAATTATAATAGACCTCATCAGTCAGACAATAAGGTATAATAGACCCTAAAAATATATTATATATCTGTATATAAATCAAATAATAACAAAATTCCTTCCACAACATGAGGAGTTTATTCCCAAAACCAACCAACAATACAAAGTTAATGAAATAAAGAACATCTGTAGGTGTGAAATCAATAATCTTCTGCACTTTTCAGTGTTTAAATAAACATCTAAAAATTTTTCATATACAAAATTGTAGAAAGCCTACTGTTTTAAGCATTCGCTTTAAGTGAATAAATCTTCCCTCTGTAGAGATGAACCTTGAGAGCAGTCTCAAAATGCAAAGCTCAAAAAATATTTGTTTTTCCACTTCCCGTTGGTGCTGAAATGACCATATTTACATCGGATTGGAAACAGGCAGAAAAGCATTCACTCTGCAATGAGTTAAAGTATACCTATACAACAAATACAAATGCATAAACAATACCAATTACACCATGTATAGCAACAGAACAATATTTTAGGCATTGTGGGTCAATTCCCTAAAGAAAATTTAGCATCATACATTGCTTGGGAGGCACGGTGTAAAGAAAATTTAGTGTATGCCCGTACCTAAAAGCATTGTGTAAAGAAAACAAATGGGGAAAATGATACAAATGGGAAAAAGATTAAAAAAAGAAAAAGGTTTGGGAGGCATCCATTGCCACTGGTGGCGACATCATTAGCAGGGAATGAAGGGGATGCGGAGGAGGCACATGTGAGGCGAACAGAGTCGGTGATGGCTTAGGGGTGAACAACAGTGTTGTAGGTGTAGGAAAAGAAGAGAAAGAGTCAATAGAAGATAGAAGAGGTATGGTGAGAAAGAAGAGAGAAATGGAAATAGTGAGAGAGTGAAAAAAATCTCAACGCTTCACTTTTTAGTTGGAATTATCTAAACCATTCTAACCAAATATAAGAGAAATATTTTCAAAATTTGCTACAAATATAAACTGAACTAACTACACAAAAATCACCTAAATGAACATCTATAAATCTAGAAACAATGAATCAAATGTAAAAGTTAAAAAAACGAACTCATCAATAATGAAAATTCAGTGTTTGATTTTTCCTTGGACTTGCAGTACCTTATTCACAAATCACAATAATATGTTTGAATATAGATATTAGACTTTTCTCAAGTGTACAAAGGTTCTAGAGTTCCAAATAGGAGACGTTGCACATGATAATACATATGTAAGCAAATGATCCTTCTAACTAAACCTTTTTATCAAGCATTACATATGCAACCAGTTGTAGCTAATACAAAACACATGGAAGGCCAACTCAATAAATAAAAATAATAATAAAAAAAACAAACACATGAAAGAAGAAATTATTTGAAAACCAACAATGAACAACAATGTGCTACCATGTGGCTAATACAAAACACATGGAAGGCCAACTGAAAAAAAAAAAACAAAACAAAACAAAAAAACAAAAAAAAACAAAAAACAAAAAACCTTGGAGTTGGAACACATACTTGAGTCCCAGTGGCATAAGTAAGTCTGTCTGATAAACCATCATCAGGAGAAGTGTTTTGCGCCCAGGCTTAGTTTCTCCCTGTATTCCAGTCAGTCAACTTCCTATCAACGCTATAATTTTGATTTCGAACATAATTCTTCGTTTAGTTATCTAAAAAATAAAAAAAAGCTACATTGGTCTACCTTCTCATCGTAATGTGTAAATCAAAGAGCTAGGAAACAAAATTAATGTAGCAGAGGCAGAAACGGGAGGGGAAAAGGAAAAACAAAGAATAATCAATATCTGGAGTTGTAGACATGTTTGAATTTCTACATATTTTAAACAGAATAGAGAACAAAAGGGCAACTTTAAAATTATAAATTTCACGGAGGGCAACAAAAGCTGAAAGAGAAAGAAGTAGAGGAGTGAAACAACAAAATCTGAGAGAAATAACTTACCGGAGTGAGCTCTAATGGGGTAAAGAAGGAAACAACAAAAGCTGAGAGAGAGAAAAGAGAGAGAGAGAGAGTTTTAAATCTGAAATCAAGAAACCTACGCACTTTAAAATACCATTGCACTGAAGAAATCAAGAAACCTGTTAATCACTTGAAGATACAAAGCAAGCAAGAGAGATGTGATATAGGATTTATGGATACAATCATGGAATTAATTTTCTTAAATAAACCTGATGAAAAGTGCAATAAAATAGAAGCACAAATGACAATTCAATTAAAGAAGAATGCATGGATAGTTTTTTTTTATTATTATTTAAGCTTTAAATTTTGGTTCCCCCATGACTAAAAGGATATATTATATTAGAAGTCCTATTGAAATTAAGTTGCCAAACTATAAAACAATATGTGCAACATATGGATTGTGTTGAGCCATGATACCACTATCAATCATCCCATAAAAACAAATTGAATTAATGATTGGGATCCATTCCACTAATGTAAAGATGATGATAAGATAAACAAATTTACTTATCACAGTATTACTCGTTTGTAAATGGGCATTGGACGTTAAAAAAAAAATAATTAATATAACGGTGATATCATATTAAAAAAAATTGATCATATCATTGAATTTTTATTTTGTGGATGATGCAGCCATTTTATTGTTCTTGGTTACATTGTTTTATCAAGAGTTGTGCCTCGTTTGGGAATTCAAACTCAAATTTGGAAGAATTGTTAAATACTCTGTTATCCTCAAATGTTGTACAATTCTATGAACCAAATATCTTTGAGGAAAACAAAAAATAATAATGAAATTGTGAGTTAACATAGCTGAAAAACAACAAAGGAATTGGTGACTTGTTTCCTTTCTGTTTGAGTTGATTTTTTGCTAGATGTGCTGTTTCACATTTTTACATCAGATAAAACTGTTACAAAATCTAAATCTTTAATATCAAACACAGAAATTAACAATTTTTATACTGGAATGCAATATTTCAAATAAGATAAATTAGAAATCAAGAAATTTATTGAAATCAATGTATCAAATCTAAAAATTGTGAGCGAAGACTCACTGTCTTGAGGATAAGAACTGAACCGAAACTTCACTGATACAATGATGCTTCCTCAACAATGTTGAAATTTCCTGTTAAAAATAAAATAAAAATTGTCGAAATTTCGGAGGGAGGGTAACACCATAATAATTGAATCTCATTCGCCAAGCCAAGTCTGGCAATGGTAAGGAAGATCGAAGGTGCTGTGATTGTGTGAAACCACATTTATAAATTGAAGGCACTTTATGGGTACTTTTTTCCGGGAAAAAATTCGTACACACAATAACATGAATATAAACAACAACAACAATAACATCCAATCAAATAAAATTGAATTTCACAATGAACTCAAAAAAACCACTAAAATTAACCAAACAACATCAGAAATCGCAATTATTCATATGTAGATACAATTAAAAAATAGACACAGCCTGTCAGAAAGAGAAAGAGAGAGGCAGGACACGATGAACTCAAAAAAAAAAACCTAAAATTAACCAAACAGTATCAGAAATCGCAATAATAAAAAAAACACACAGCCCAACAGAGAGAGAAGGGGAGAAGTAGAAACCGAGGACTACCTTGCGAGCCGAGTTCGAGAGGCAGAAATCGAGGACTGGAGATTTCCTCACTATCAAGTGAACATCTTCATTTGCTCTATGGCCAGATCTGCATGTCAAGTTTATGTTTAAAAGATGACTATCCAGTCTTCAATCATTAATTAAGAAAAATAAATAAACGAAGATTGAGCACATTGATACATTTCTAGTATAACCATCATCAAAGTATCCAATTCAAATTAAAACCAAAATCAAAATTCGTTATAATCATAAGTATTTTGAAGTTCACCATTTATCATTTAGAAAGTCCAAACATAAATTTATGCCACAAAACAAAAACAAAAAAACAAAACAAATTTATACTATCTATCAAGTAAATCAACAACCAACATAAACAACAACCAACAAAACCAACTTTAATCTTCAGTAGCTTTCCCAGAACTATATGTTAATATTTTAAATAACAAATTTTAATTGATCTCTAAGTGAGTTACTCGAAGCTTTCCCTGGTCTTAAGTTTACAATCTCCTTTTCTAATGGATTTTCACCACCATATATGCACCATAAATACTATAATTTACATCTAGTGTAGCGTAACAAATCCCACATTTCTCATATTCAAATGCGGACCTGCTGTAGATTTCCTCACTGTCAAGTGAACATCTTCATTTGCATTATGGCCAGGTCTGCGTGTCAAGTTTATGTTTCAAAGATCACTATTCAGTCTTCAATCATTAATTCAAAAAAATAAATAAATGAAGATAGAGCACATTGATACATTTCTAGTATAGCCATCAAAATATCCAATTCAAAAAATTAAATCTATTCAAGGTTGAAGAATATATGCCACTTCAAAAGAAGCAAATAATACACTATCAACAATCCCTTGGTATAATATATGAAGTTTGTCCCAGTGAAGGAAGTGTAGGTAATACTGTAGGAGCTATAGAAGGCAAGGAATACATATATTAAGATTAAAATATATATATAAAATTGTGACAGGGTGCTTTTGTGGGAGAAAATTGAAAGGATGTAGCATGCAAAACAATACAATATGAAGTGGGTTTAAGTCAATTGAAATGTTTAAGTTTGACATCAGAACTTAATTACAAAATTAGCATGCAGAACAATACAGTAGATACTTAAAAAATCAAAAGAAAGAGAAAGGGTATGCAGTCACTGTCCCAAATTCGCATGTGCTTCCTTCCATGTAGGTTCAAACAGACACATACAATACACAACTCAAAATGTTCACTGTGATCTGATTCCCAATCCATAGTGTTGTAGCATACATTGTGTTGAGTCTGTATTGGATGTTTAAAACTTATTTAAAAAAATAGTAATAATACTGTACAAAAGTATGAGTTAGTGATTTGTTTGATAATATAAATATTTTTCGTATTTATAATTAGTTACTTATTGATTGAGAAATAAAAAAATAAAAAAAGTATGAATAGAGCTGTGGTCTATTTCAAAGTATTGAAGAATTTTACTTGAAGCTTTCCTTGAACACATTCTGTTTGAGCATGAAGTGGGTTTTGCATCAACAGCGGCAGTGGTGATGATGAGCAGCGGTGGTGGTGTTGCAACCATATAGACAAACCAGACATAGCCATAAATTGATCTACTGGAATGCAATAAACTGATCTACGAAATTAGAAATCAAGAAATTTATTGAAATTAATTAAAAGAAGTAATAAACTGATCTACGAAAGGGGAGAGGCAGAAATCGAACCTTGCGAGTGCGAGTTCGAAGGGAGGGTGGTTGTCGATGCTGAAATTTTTATTCATACGAAACAAATTGATTGGAAAAAAAACCTAACTTGGATCATCATCCGTATATCATCACCAACCTGAAAAAGTGAAACAAAGAGAAAAAAGATTCATCAAATACCAGTTTCAGATACATAAAAATAAAAAGTAAAAAATGAAAAGGTGTTATTTTTTAATGGATAAAGGGAAAGGAGATGTAATGAATCTTTGAACCCAATTTCCCATCTCTCTAAACACTCACTCCCACACCCCTAAGAAAAACCACCATTCCCCAAGTTTGGCTGAGCCTGATTCTCCTGCTGCTGCTGATAGTTCAGAGGCCCCCTGAGGAGCATAATGTGTGGCTCTAGTCAATGGATTGTGTAGTGGACCCATCATCGGCTCTGCTGCACCCAAATTGCACGCCACTTGTTCTGATACACAAAATCAAATATATGATACCATCAAATTGTTTAATATTGAAACTTGTATAAACAGTGCTCTAAATATTATCAAAAGTGTTTCGAAATTAGTGAAAAGTGTTTTGTTTTCTTTATTTTTTGTCATTTTCTCATAAACTGATCTACTGGAATGTG